TCTCTCTCTCTCTCTCTCTCTCTCTCTCTCTCTCTCTCTCTCTCTCTCTCTCTCCTCTCTCTCTCCCTGAATCTCTCCACCAACCTCCAACCCCACTCTCTCTCTCTCTCTCTCTCTCTCTCTCTCTCTCTCTCTCTCTCTCTCTCTCTCTCTCTCTCTCTCTCTCTCTCTCTCTCTCTCTGTCCTTCCCTCACACGGGCCGTCTTTTTATGAACGTCCTTGAGGGTACCAGCATAATTTATTTTTGGGGTCTATTTTGTGTTCAGATGGTTCTCAGAAGACTTGCGTAATATCGCTTTTCAATGCTGTTGACCGTTTCTCATTTTGTGTATCTCGTAGGGTCCAGCCTGCACTGCTACTTTTAATATGTCTTATAAAACTGAGGTGTAATATGGGATTGGTCTGCCTTCTTTATTCAATTTTTAAACCGTCCCTTGCTTCTCCTTAGCTTTTCTTGCATGTTCTGGCAGATAACTTGTAAGATTGTAAAATAAAAACAAAAGGCTAATATACGTCAAACCATAGTATAAAGAGTCCACTAGAAAAAACAACAAACAGGTAAGTTGCACTTTAAAAACGAGTTGTTGCAGTCTTTAAAAATCAAACTTTCTTTTCCGCATAATGATCTTACGGGTAACCCTCTTAAGTCATGTGCTATGTAAGGTAAAATAAGTGCTGTACTCACTATGAGATACGGACTTCCAAGCTTTGAATTTATGTTTTCTCCACTTTCTTAAAATGCAGCTTATATAGTTTCCCACTGGATTCTTCATATACACCAACGTCTTCCAACTGCACAGGATTACAGAAGAGACCAATGGCTAGTCTATTTATCTTAAACCACCAATTATATCCTGAAAGCGTAAATCACGTTCTAATTGGAAAACTGCGACAACACTGTTGCAGCCTTTAATTAATAGGTCAGTTGGAATTTATGTAAAGGGACTACCCAATAAAAGTAAAACAGTCGAACCTGCCTTAACGGAAACCTGTATAAAACGGAAACCTGTCTTAACGGAATCTTCCCGCTCCCCCCTTGATTTTTTCCTCTTTAATTACCTGTATAAAACGGAAACCTATCCAACGCGGAAACGGAAAGAAAAATCCGCTCCCTTCCGAGGGTTTCACCAGTCTAAGACGGGAAATGCTTTACCAGCTCAGCACTGATTTAAAACAAAACTCGTAAGTTTGGTTCCGCCGGCTCTAATCTAAACTTAACACCACGGCAAGGAGTTTAGAACTAAACCGCTGGGCGAGGAAGGGGAGTAGGTGTGCAATTTGGGGGTAGATGTTACCCTATACCCCATCATGTGAACCCTGAGCTCCTCAGATGGTCAGGGTAGTGAGGGTGTGAAATCTCACGACTGCTTTTGAGAGTGCTCGAGTACCGAGCCACTACGGAAACTTTCTTGGGTAGCCAGAAGCCAGAGGTGTGAAATAGACTGACCAATGCCAGCCGAGAAAAACGCTCCTCGAATCGTTGTTACGTGATGGCAGTGAGGGGTGGCATTGGTTGACTGTGCTTGTTACACAGATGGGTGGGGCTAAGGATGGAAACAAAGGAGATGTTCAAACGTTTCTGCTTTTAATAGGTCAAACAGTGGTCCTATGAAAGGCAAGCACTGGTGGTAATTGGATAAGTAAGACTGACGCATGTCATAGCAATGGATAGGTTTGAAGTCTTGACCACTGCTTGTCGATCGGACAAGCGATCCTTGATCCCACCGGCTGGGTATTTGAACTCTCCCCCCCCCCCCTCATCCTTTCCATCTCCCCCTAAATTCCCCTGTCTAAGACGGAAAATGTCTAAGAAGGAATTTTTTTCTCGCTCCCTTGCGATTCCGTCTTACACAGGTTCGACTGGACAATGTTGCCTCTTAAATTTTTGCCGTCTACTACGACCATGATGTCAGAAACCTAATGCTCTCTCTACTCTATCAAAATTGTAAGATTATTTGGAGTCGTTTTCAAGATATTCAAAGAGTTGCATTCGAAAAAGCTTGGCAAGTTGTGAAACTACAAAAAAATTAACGTCAAATTTCTCACAACTAGGTACTGAGCAGATAGAACTTTGAAATTCT